TGGAAGACTATTCATGCATCGCTCTTTCTGTGTCCAAAATACATCACAATGCATTCAATATTTTAATTCTAAAATGTTAATGAGCTACATGTAGTCACAGTTTGGTGGTTTAGAGATAAAAAGGCAGATCAAAATAAAATGCAAAAAAAGTGCTCCCTCTTATGATAATCACAGTGGAGCCACACATTATAACTTAACAGGCTTGATCTGATCACTGCAGCTAAACCTCCCACATATACATATATTATTTTGTAATCTACTAAAAGTTCCAGTTTTAGCCAAATAATGAAACAGCCAAAATATCAAAAAGGGTCACATTAAACCTTGTAGATTGAAAGACACAGTAGACTTATTAAAAAGTTTTTATCTTACCTCTACTAGTACTGTCAGTTATCCTTTCTGCACACTTGATATTTCTAGGAGCGTATGTCCACACTGGAAGCAATTTACTGGAATGTGGCAACCAGAACCCACAGAAAGTCAAGGATATTCAGTGACTATGAGTGAAATAATCACTGTGTGGGATCAGAGATAAATTTTTTTTGACTACCAGTGAGAACACAGGATATCTCTGATTGACATACAAATACAGTTACTTAAAATGGTGAGCTGATCTTGACAACACCATGGTGGATCCTTGGCGGATCCTCGGCTGGTTCTTGACCAATGAGATCCCCTGCCTGTGATATGTATAAAGCCACCACAAGTGTTAATGCCCCTAATCAGCACTGAGGAAAACCAGTGCTAATATCTTATGTATACACCAGTAGAGGTAGTGACAATGGAAGCTCATTCATTTACATCTTTCTACACTGCTTATTAATCCATTCTATGTTAAAGGGTTCTATAATTCAAAACACTGATATAGGCTAATTGGCAGCATACAATTTAGAGGTTGTACACACTGAACAAGCGACATACAGCAGAAGACAAAAAGTGATGTCTAACGAGTTTTTGGAAAGAAAAGCATCTGGACTTCTTTAAGTTGCTTGAAGATGTTTCACCTCTCATCCAAAAAGCTTCTTCAGTTCTAAGGTCAAATGGTGGA